TAAAGCTCACTGACAATCTTTATCAGCATAATAGGGGACTTGGTTGCTAAGTGATATCATTATTTGTTCCTCCAGCACCATCGCTCCCTTAAAAGTCTTGTCCATTCATTTTGGAATAGGAGGAAAAGCCCCAGAAAAGCAGGGAGAGACAAACCTTTGCAATCAGCAATGATTCAATCACTTGAATGGGTCAGCAGCAAACAAATTACACATTAGCTACAAGAATGCATGTAGGAAAAATAACTCAATAGAGAGGAGGCTTTTATAACACAATACCGCAAATGTACAAAAAGACACACCAGGGTTCCGGGCTCCTATTAACAGAGATAACAGTCAAACAAAGATGCGAATATTATTTCCATTTTCAACCTTAATGAATGTTTCACACCCACAGACTCCTGTAGCTGCACATCTGTCATGTCAGTAATGGCAGCATCAACTGTGTGCATATAAAATACACGGAGGATGTGCTGAAAGAAGAGGAACACGGGAGTTGAGCAGCTGATATCAGTGATCTGTTTATTTTATGTTGACATGGGCAACACACCTATGTTGCACATTCATTGTATTCAAATGGGAAGCGCACACAACAAGCTTAACATACAAACAGGCCTGGCAAACACAAAGCACTCGGGAACATACGGAATATTTTTCTATTGTCTACTTCTGAAGCACAAGATAAAGAAAAGGTTATGTCACTGTAATAAGAGTCGGCATTATATAGAAGGACCATATATTGTTCTGCAATTTTCATTCTAACAGAGCAAAACCCCAATTACAGGTTTCACTGGTGTTCACTTTGATGTTCTGACACATCCGTCATCACTTATCTATATGCCTCATTGTGTTGCTAAGTATGACTATAACTTCCTGTTTTATAGATATATGAGGTAGCTAAAGAGGCTACAGAGGAAGCTAATGTCGGCAACTTCACAGAAACTAGAAACATTCTGATTTTTCTACAGCATCCCTGGGATTTAAGGAAATCACAGCCTTACTTTGCATCAAGTTCACACTTTTGGAAAAACAATCACAGGGATTGCTATGAGAGACTGAAGCAATCTAATCTAAACTAAACTAATCTGTCCAGAGAACATCATTTTAATTAGTTCCTGTTTGATTATAAAAAGACGACCATACAGTTGGGTTTTTACTGCCCTACAAAAACATGTGCGCAAGTAATAAAGGAAGGGGGAATAGAAAACACGTGAACACCCTAAACACAGGTTTGCATGGATGAGTTTCACTCAACCATCAAATAATTAATAGCTTTATAGACACTTTGGGTTTGTGGGCAGGGCGGCACAGAGGCAATGCAGAGGGGGCCCGGCAATGCAAGGGGATTTCACCTGTTTTTTCCTAGAGAAGAAGTCAATTGCAACAATGTGCAGTTGTATTTTCTTTGTTTGATGACACTTGAATACTGTGTCTTTAATACTTGAAGTACATCGGTGTCATGTTATATGTGACAGGTGAAGCTTTGGTCGACGCATTTTCAATTACGACCAAGGACTCAACAACAGTGTCTACACATTAGTCAAGCACCAACATTTTTAAACAATGCTCTCTGTCATAGCTTCCCTCCACCATGTAAGTCATCCTGGATTTCCCCTGCTGCTATTCCATGCCCCAGGCATTGCCTTTACTTTTATGGAAATGTGTCACTTAATCTCGGGCGGGTTATCTGATTATTTTACACAACGCAGTAGTACAGAAAATGTATTACTGCACACCCATTGTACAGCTGTACTGCTTGCAAGGACACAATAAAGTTTGATTTGGGTTTGTTTTGCATTTCAAATACAGCCCTTCCATCTCCATATCTGTCCATTGCTGCTTTCCTCTCATTTGTAAGGCAACTACAACCAAACAATAGACAATTCTCTATTCTCCAAACCATGGCCCTGTTTCCAAGTCTTAACTCTCTCACAGAGATGGACAAGGTCATGCATCTGCAATTTCAACGCACAATACACGCATGAACACAAATACAGGCCATAAAAGACAGGTGTGGAGCAGTGCACTAACTGAATACAGCCAGTTGTTGGCTTCAAAAACCCAGAGGACAAGGCCACTATTGATCTTGTCTGATAACTCAACACCCATAACCCAAGGTAAAAAGCTCCAAAGCAGGTAAAAAGAAAGCACACAAAGGCACACAGGAAAGCAATGGTACGGCAACAGGAAAAGAGGAGTAGGAAAAGTAGTGTTTGCTCACGCCCCACATTTATACACATGTTGCAATGTCACACGGTTGTTAAAAAGGGAGCTGCTGGGAAAAGATAGCACAACAGTAAAAAACAACAGTAAAAAAAAACAGTAAAAAACAGTACCAATAATTTTTCTGTCATCCTGAAAACAAAGTACATAATAAAATCTGGGTGTTTTTTTCTAATGGAGATACTTAAAGAATACATCATTGTGTGCAGATAATTGGTTTCTATTTATTGCTGATTATACATGCACAGTATATTTGTCACCTCGTGAGAACTTTACCTTCTGTTCGGTAATGAGCTGTTTGGTCTGTTAAAAGAAGATGATGTTTTAAGTCAAGAAGGTGAAGTTCTAGTCTGTTTTAAACACATCAAAGTTCATTTTAACAGGCAGGAACGGAGATACTTTAAAAAATGCCTGACATAAAAATTGCCTGAGTGTATACAAGCCCAAAACTTACCACGTGACTGTAAACGCTCCACTCGGATGAAAGCTGAACTGTGTGCTGATGCTCGTCTGAAGGAGTTTGAGCCACACTTTGACATAAGCTGACTGTAGTCATAAAGATTTAAACAGCTAGAAAATAATGACAGAAGTTACCCGAAAAAGAGACAACAATGTCTTCTAGAAATCCTTGTCTCTAGTAACTACCACTTATATGTACTCTACAGAAGCAGAGTACATATAAGTGGTTACAACAGAAAACCTAGTTTTGTCCTCAAACGTAAACGTAAATTCCAAATTGATGCTGGCAGTTTACAAAATGTAACTTGTGCCTAATATTCCTGTGGGGCATTTAAAAACAAAGGTTACACTGAATATAGGATACACATTGTCCACAGTCTGGCTAATTCATTCATATAAATACTGTGTTCTAGCATGAAAGGAAAAAACCAGTCAGTCAGTCTGCTCTCTGACAGAGAGAAGGGAAGTTAGTTCCTGATAAACCAGTCAATAATGCTGACACAATGAATGGAACCTAGCCTCGGCTATGTTCTGTTGACAGATAAACAGAACGCTGTCGGTGTCTAGTGTTTTCGCTAACTGGCTCGGTGAATATCGGTTTACGAGTGATGCAGCTTGTTTGGTGTGTTTTTTACGTCATTAATTAAAATAAATTTTAAAAAATCCTGCAAATAATTATTGTTATTATGGGTCAATAATGTGTTTATCTGTATTGCTGAAATAACATGCACGTAAGTAGTTACTATTACACATGATTATGTCCAAGTAATAAAAGTGTTGATTTTATGAAACATTTTAATGCTTTAATGTGATCTATTTTCTTGTAAATAACAGTGGTGAGAACAGCTACTTAACAAAAAGCTTTCCTAAAAATGTGATTTCATGATAATAACACAGGAATACAGGGTTAGGGCAAAAAAGGGCTAAGACAGATTATCTTTTTCTCATACAACTTACTTAAGTTTGTTTTGCTCATGGGCCACGTAGTGAAGTGAACTGAGAAATACAACACTAATACTCCAGAAGTTCTGTGTGTCTCAACAACCTTTAAAATCACTTTGGTCCATACAGAAAAAGGGAAACAACTCAATTTGGATTTAGGCAAATGCTGTCAGGGAGTGGAGTGAAAAGGCAAAAATGTTATCAAAATGTAATATATGTCTGTTTCGAAATTTTGAACAGGAAGGCCGGATTTGGAGAGAGGGGCAATTTGTTAAGTGCCATCGTCTGTCCTTGTGTTGCAAAAAAAACAAAAACTGCACCATTCCAACCAATGAGCTTGGGCTGAGAAACTAATAAGGATGAATGGAGCTGCAGCGTCTTTTCCGAGTGGCCCTTTGTTTGGCAACAGCCTTTCTCTCTGCAGCCTCGCTGGAAACGCGAGACGCTTATCGATCATTTCAACTGGAAAGGCTTTTGTGTCGCAAGTGACCAAGTTGCAGTGACCATAGCACGTCAAAAACGGTATATATTCGTAAAAAATAAAGAAATAAAAACACAAAAGCGAGGCTCCCCGTCAACATCTCTTCACTGCTGCCTTTGTCCAATACGGGCAGCAGCAAATAAACAAAGTACTGTTGGGGATATTCCCCCGGATTAACGTCGGATTAATCATAACAGACCCCAAAACAGCCGGTGTTTGTTGTGTAAAACAATCGAAACCGACCATGGATCGAAACAGACAAGAAAGAAATGTTGTTTTCTTTCGAAACGAATATTATATTCAGGCTATAACGCTGGTTCTTTGTATTTGCAAATGTCAAAGCTTTTCCTCTGCCTTCCCCTCACCTTTCCTGGCTCTCTGCTGGGGTTAACAACTCTACACAGCCCGGTCTAAAGATACGAACTAGGTAGCCTAGAAACGTCAAAAAAGGGCCTCTAATACGCCAGTTTGGGTCTATGATATTAATACATAGCTGAGGATAAAAGCTGGTGATATAGCGCAGCAACCAGAAACAGAGTTAAGAGGTTCCACAATAGGAATCCCTTTAATTTTTAAACAGCAGCTGCTCGGCTAAAGCTAGCAAGCAACGTTTCCTCGCTTCCCGTTTATCTGAGAACAAAAGTCGCTGAAATGTGCTTAATACACGCACAAAAACCACCCTTAAACCTCCGCCACTTGATTAATAAACACCCCGAAGCCTGTGGGGTGTATTACACAACACAAACTATCGCTTCACATACTTTGAATGGTTGCAGCAAAAACTTCCATCAATCATCCCCCAATAGATTCGGTTGCGGCGGAAGCCAGCTCCGAAAACAGTCCGGGAGTCCGGAGAACGATGTAAAGCGTTGATGTTGTTGTTTTTTTTCGTACTTACCGACTTGTAAAACGTTTTCAACACATCCCGTTTCCAACAGCCTTATGCCACGGCGGAAAGGTAGTCCGTCTCCGGTTCCTAATGTCCCTGCTGCCCCTGCGGTCGCCGTCGTCCCGGTGGTAGATCCAGCAGCAGACGCAGCAGCGGTGGTGGCTGGTACCGCTCCAGACCCGGCGCTGCCGGCAGCCGCCACCGGAGCCTCGTCGCCGGCGACTCGGCACTGAAACGACGAGTACATACATATTTCCTTTTCGTTTCTGGGAAAAGACCAGTACACGATACGGCGCTGGACAGGCTCGGGTATCCGCTCGAAGCGCTCCTCCACTCTCTCGAAGGCCCACTTCTCCGCAACTGCCTTCGCCGCACAGTCCAAGAGGGACTCCGGGGAACGGTACCGGGCATTGTGTACCCCACATCCGTGTCCGAGCCCCGGCCCTGGACCCCGAGGAGCGGGGCGCAGGCAGGGTCTCTTGCTGGCCGGTGGAACGGAGAAGAGGGGATGTGGCTGCTGTTCTCTGCGTCCTTCCGCCATGGTTAACGACCAACACTGACGAGACGGACGATGTGTGTAGAGCAGCAGCAGGAAGCAGACGAAGCAGACCACACACACACACACACACACTCACACGCACACTCACACGCATGCATGCACGCACACACACACCCTGTTTTTTGTGTTTCGTGAATACATTTCATTGACATGATGCATAACCATTCAGCCTAATCCCAATTCTAATCCTTATCCTTATCATAACAAAACCTCATTCTAATCCCAGTGGCGGTCCGAGTCTGTTTAACGCCCTGGGCCAGGACACCCCCCCCCCTCCGCCCCCTGCGTCCTTCAAATGCTTTCTTTCACTTCAACAAAAAATTTAATCACAGAGTATTTACAAAATTATACATGTGTTTCTTTCACTTTAATGTCCAGGCGAAGTAGATGAAATCACCTTGGTGAACAGATTTCTCGTATCTTCCCTCCCCCTCCAAAGAAGGGAGCTCCAAGCTTACCCTATAATTAATTAAATTTTCTTTATTTGTGGTGTAATTTACTTTAGCCCACTAAAGGTATTAGTGTCAATATGAGATGGATCCTCTCCGAGCTGCCTCCTTCAGGGGTGGGATTATCTGCCTCCATCTCAAACGATTCCCTGTCTCCTCTACTGTTACGCCAACCATCTTGATGTCCTCCTTCACTACATGCATAATGTTCTCTGGGTTCTCCCTCTTCTCCTTTTGCCTGGCAGCTCTAGTGCAAACATCTTTTATATGTTGGACCATCCCTGAAGGGAAGAAGAGGGACGATGATTGTTAAAAGTCCCTGCACAACAGGAGCTGAACTGAAAACCATATTACTTATTATATCAATTTGCATTTCTTTATGTTTATGCACGTGTCTGTGTGTAAATGTATGTGTGGGTTCAGGGGCAGGACGTATTTTTGTATCTCGGAGGGAGGTCCTGGATATTGAACATTGAAAACCCTCAGTGAATCACACAAAGAGCAGTGAAATAATTCAGTCCTTCCTCTCACTGCTGCTGTGAAAGTACCCCTCTTTCCCCCTCCTTTTGTTGCCTGATTTCATCATGTCACTCATCAATCTTTTTCCAATTACCTGCTCTGAATATACAAATCCATCATAATCATTCCCATGGTAACCGGTTGCATCCTCTATTTGGCCCGTGCTTCCATATATTTGTAAACCACAAAGCAGTCTGTGTGATGTGTGAATAGTACACAAAGAGAACGCCATCAGAACATATTCTCCAGGAGGACACTTCATTCCTGACAATTGAGGCCAAGAGGAAACCCACACACACCTGGGGAGGTCATGTGACTCCATACAGGAGGAACTGGGATGGAACCAACTTATCTCCATCTCCCCTTACCCCCCGTCTCCTCCATCGAACTGCTCATAGTCCAACTAGTGAGTTTGACTCACACTTGTCTTCACACTTCCTGTGACCTGCTGTGAGAGTTATAGACTGCAGCACTGAGCCCATTAAAACCCAATGTGTATTGGCCATCTCGAGTTGACTGATCATAGAGGACACATAATGGTGTGAATTCAATTTGCACAATAGTGCATTCTGCAAATTCATGGGGAGAAGTTAGGATCATTATCTGCTCCACTAAAAAATGAGCCACAGTGGGAAGTTTACAGTCGCAGCAGGCGAGCAGTGATTCACAGAGTGAAGGAATACCAAGGAAACAGACGTCGTAATCCAAAAAGTTATTATTGTTTTTAACAGTTTACTCATGGATTGACAGCGTGATGTTCATGACTTTGACTGTTGTAAATGTGTGGTGTGCAGTTCTGATTGTAGGCTTGTTTTTCTATGTTGCTAATGATGCCGTCGACGCTCACCTCTGTCTCTCTCTGTTTATTCTAAACAAATGTTCGGCAAAGATTAGATTAGGTCAGATTATAATAGGATTAGACTTACAGTTGTTACACACATCACAGGTATTCAGAGGTATCAGTTATGAAACATTATATTTTGTCTATTATATCCATACTATGTATTGACCCTTTAATGTTTTACTATTGTTTCTGTTATATTGACTAATTATTATAATAATTACATTTTTCAACTTCCATTTCTGCAAATCTTTGTAGATGCTGGTTCTATATTTCCAGTGTAAATGCAAGATACAACAGTTATATCTTCTTTTTGGTAAATTGAATCTCTTTTTTCATTCTAATTCTTGGTCCATTGAGCTCATCCCGATACTCATTTCACTGCTGCAATACACGCACACCTACACAGGAAAAAAAAAGAAAGAAAAGTCTTGAATCTTGAATTTGAGCAGAGCGTCTGACAGGAGCAGATCAAAGCAGAACGTTTTGTCAACCTGACACCGAGGTGAAGATTAGGACTAAGGTGTCAACACTGACTGTGGACTGGTGAGACAGTGTCTGTGTGTGTGTTTCCAAGGCACATTCATGAGTCTGTCATTGGTTTGGTGATTGCACACACCCCCCCCCCCCCCCCCCCCCCCCTCCCCCCCCCCACCCCACACCCACCCCGCTCACGGACGCTGCTCTCTATC